GTTGTGGAGTATTCTGTAGATTTCTTTTGGTTACAAGGTTTTTTTTATCACACACCAGTGTGTGCTGGACAGCAGATGGGGTGGCGGACTTGAAGTGAAGAACCACATAATGCGTGGTATCGAACTGGGCAACAGCAAAGCCGTCTGCCACCAAAGTTGGGTGGCGGTGACGGGACTCAAACCCTGAACTACGGAGTCCAAAAGGCCCCAGTAACAGCGACTAAACCACTACGCCACCAACACCGTGAAATATATCTTACGTATGTTGAGGCATCATAGTTTTTCATCGAACTAGTGTGTGTGTGTGTGTGTGTGTGTGTGTGTGTGTGTGTGTGTGTGTGTGTGTGTGTGTGTGAAAGAGTCGTGATCCCAAGGAACCAAGTTAAAGGTAGATAAGTTACACCAGGCCGATTCCGCCTTGTGGATTTGAAGTGGGACGACGAAAGAAGTATTTATGATTTATTTATCGGACCTAGGGGTGGAAGTGGTTCGTGTAGAATCATAATATGTGCTCGCAATCCGGTGAGTATGATAGAAATTGGGAAACAAGAGCACAATTGCATAATGAATCTCACCCAGTACGTCCATTGGGTTTGGTTGGACCGGAAACCGTCAGCGGGTTCTGCAATTGTACCCAGTCTCCGCTGTGATTGGTTTGAGCAGCTGGCCATGATGCCAAGTAGTCGGGTTGTGGACTGAAAAATTGAACACGCCCACGTCTACCGGAGACAGTTGAGGGGTGAGACAAGGCATACCACAGCCGTGTTTGAATCATGTCACATCGCGTGGCCCAGTCAGTCACCTGACTTATTGGATCGTACAGGTCCGAGGCTGATAAACTGAACGTCAAAATAAATGGACACAAAAAAATCAGCAAAGGATCCCGGATGATTAGTCCTTTTCAAAGGCAGAACTCGTCGGGTATAGAGTAAATGAAGCGTGAACTGGAAAGCTAGGAAGCACTGTACCTGGTTGGGTCTCATCAGCAGTGTACTCGTCGACCCAACTGGGGATCGAACCCGGGACCTCACAGGCAGAACGCAAGCATGCTACCTACTCGGCCATCGGGCAGCTGATCAGGCCGTTTTTCATTTTCCGTTTACACGATCTAGCACAACCAATCTTGGTGAGCTTGTTGTAGGTATCGCGCCTCGCTCATCTCAGCACTAGCCTCCCGGGGTTGTGGCTCATTTTAAAACTTTCTGAACCTGACTACTTGTCACATAATCCTTTCGATTATTGCGGAAGTTTTCAAGCAAAACATGGGACATATTTAGTTTCATGGGGTTCATAATAGTAGCGTTATTTTCTGTAAAACTCCCTTTGGAATAAGCAGAATATTCACACATCTCAGAACGCCGAAACAGCAATTTCGTCACAGTGTCAGAATAATCGGTTGCACGTCCGGGCAACTAAATCTTATTCTCTCTGGTGCTCGAAACAATTTGTAGTATTCGGAATAGAAATCGGAATCAAAAAGCGCGAACTCGGATTCGAACTGGAAACCAACTGAATAGCGCCAAGTCAGTTGAAACCAACAGGAGCTGTGGATACACTTAATACTATTCGGAAAATCATGCAAATAAATATCACAAGCATCACATAACCATTGGTCGATTCTTCAATGTCCAATCGACAACGATATGGCTCATTTGGTTGTCTTTCTGCATTCAATCAATCTGATTGGTACGACTTGGAACCACAGGATTGGTCGGGAAATCCGTTTCCTGATTGGCTACCTGAAAGCTGTACCGTGGAGGGTACGTACTCGTTGCCTGATCACCACATCTACTCACTTTGTCAGCCAATAAATGAGATAACTCCAAACCAATCTGACGTAGTCCATAATCAAGATGGTTGGATATAATTTTCGTCCCCTTTCCGTCAATAATTTAAAAGTGGTGAAAATTAAGATCTTTCTATGAAAATGACCGAATCTTTCGGAACGAAAAGATGGTCTTGTCAAGGCACAAACTGCATCAACCTCGTGCTATGATGTATGTAGTGTTCATTATGTGGTTGGAGTCAACACAATGTGGACTAGTGGTCGCATTGTCTCAATCACCGCCAGGTGGTTTGTTGAGAAGCTACTCGGAAGTTACGTGGAACATGACATACAAATGAAACAATGCCACGCATCAGTGCAAATTTCAGATAACTGATACACTGAACGTTGAACTAGTTCACCATGCGCGTACACCGACCGATTTCGGATACAAAGTGCATTATTTTCATGTACTTTTATATCGTTTGATGTCACATGGCTGTTTGCAAACACCTCGAGGTAACTATAGATCTATAGAACATGAGGCATCTGACAAGAGATGATCGTCGTCTTCTAGAAAGGACACCATCATCAGAGGTTGAAGTTATCGAGCTGTTTGAACTCCGCATGGAAACATGTCTGCAGTCTGCATTGACAGGTGAAAGCTACCCCAATGGGATCATGAACCTCCGACCTAATAGGTGATACGGCAGTGACATAATTCGAAGCCAAAGCATTTGAATAATACTGTCTTTGTCTCTGGATCCGCAACGTGGACAACATCTTTGCGGTGCGACCAGAAGTAATTTCTTGATGATCGACACAAGATTATGCCAGTTATATAACATTCTCTCACGAGGAGGCCGTTATCAATATACGAAAACTACACGAACATACAGAACCCAGTGTGAACAGAAAAGCGACAACGACCGATTAGGTGACAAACTACAATAGTAATCGTCCCGTACGTCACTTAAGAAGCTGTGTGCGCACTTTGTTCCGTCGTGTGGACACATATTGTAGTATAGATGAACTCCGGTATCAAGAACGAATGTATTTGTTCCATCAGTTCCGTACAAATGGATACACCAACCGTTTCGTCCAATTCATGCCTTAGGGGAGGAAGAAAACCGAAGAATGAAGAGAAGAAAATGAAAACAAAAAAACGAGGAGAATGAACCGAAACTCTTATTACTACCACGTGAGATATCACAAACCATCGATCGCATCCTTCGCCCATTGGGTGGGCGTCACCACTGCCAACAGACCTACAACAACACTGGGACGAATTTCGCTCATCGGCATGGAACACTTAGAACCACACGACCAATCCGGAGTGATGTACGCAATTCCATCCCTAGACTGTGACCAACATGATGTAGGAGAGACAGGCGAACAACTAAGCACTCGCCTACACGAACACACTTGCATTATGACGCATTGACCCGAAGTCACACGTCTGGAACCACGTAGAAATTGATAAACATTACACAACGATTGTACACCAAATGAGGAACGCGGGATCGATACAACAGATATTATCACTCAGTGCTTGCCTTCTTTTCTGGTTGCTACCTGCTGGCTGCCTTCAGCATCATCAACAACAACACGTACAGCGAGATACAGTGAGGCGAAATTCTCTGATCTCTGCCAAACTCACAATATGCACCAAGTAAATGATAAAGTACAAGATGGAGAGGGACTGGACGTAACTGGAGGGCAGAAAATTAATTGAAACTCTATGATCAACACATAGAGTACACAATGGAACTGTGCATGTATACTGTTTCTGGCATTCTGACCTGATAAAAAATGACAACACGAAGGCCACTGCTATCTTTAACCAACTAGTTAGTTACAGAGTCATTCCGACTCCAAACTGGAAAGCACGTGACACCTATTCTACCTAATAGCTTTGTGCGTTTCTTCATGCCTCGTTTCCACACCATCTATTGAACTCCACGTGGTTTCTTTTGATCTGGAGCCGCAACTGCAGTGCGGTAGACTACGGCTGAGCATGCGCAATACGTGCTCCTAACCAGTGAAGCCGACCAATCTGAATTCAATGTGATTACTGACCACGCAGCGGGGCAGTATATGCCATATTTCAGTTTCAAGGACACATGAGGTGTTTCACTCTTGCCTAAGCTGCTTGAGCCTTGGAAATGCGAGCGGTTATTTTCTTGACTGCGTAACCGTCATTCGTCACGCAACTACCCAGGTAGGAGAAACATTACTCCATGGCTAATTCTTGGCCATCAGGTATTAGAGTGAAGTTAGAAGACACCGAGTGCTGTAGGACTTTGAAAGTGCCAAGCGCAGACCAAAAGGAGTGACAGAACTTGAATGTCTGCCAAGAGCGATATACACATCCTTCATAAATTCAAACAGACAAGCGCTATCGTTAGTGTACTCTAAATCGTACAGTTTTTCTCTAGCTGACCATTCAATGTCAACCTTTAGAGACCACTTAGTGCGTTCTCTAATATTTCGTCTACGGTGAAATTGAATACGATTGGCAAAATAAAGCACTCTTGACGAACACCGCTCCTGGTTTCGAACGATTTGCGTAGCCCACCGTAGACCTTTACACTGCATTCCTTCGTGAGGCAGTGACCCCAGAAGAGCTTCACGGTAGACTGAATCGAAGGCTTCTTCNTTCAGCCAAGGAATACTGCAATTCAGTTCAGTTCAGTTCAGTTCAATTTGCACAACCATTAACCATGCAAGTTCGTGCAGCAGTCTCGATCGCTGTCTTTTGGTTGTCCGTTTGGATGAACAGTAGGAGAAAGACAGAAAAGTTGAAAGTGGAGTCGAACAGAAAATGAAGAATTCCAGTGGTCTAAGGTTGCTAAGAAATTGAGAAGATGCACGAACGCCATTGTTTACGACACTCAGCCATATCACACAGTGTCTCTAATCATCGGTTACGACCATCCAGGGAGCCTAACGGGACCTATGTGACCGACTACCCTACGACCGTTGCTATGTGACGTAATTCGAGTTGACGCAAACTAAAAATTTGTTCGATGCTATCTGTTCGCAGATATTCATCTCCCTTAAGACGAAGTATCACAGAAGTTAGTACTTTTGTCATGATCAGAATTAAACTTATCCCGCGGCGATTTGTGCAATCACTACGTGATCCCTTTATGAAAATCGGAACGACCAACGATCCACCGTGGGATAAAGGGATACGCTCTTCCGACCAAATGAGACGAAGTAAAGTTGTAATCCAGTCGACGAAAGAGTCACCATCCAGTTTTAAAAGAATAGGGAGAAGCCCATCAGGTCCCGAAGCCTTCCCTTTCTTCAACGATTGAATATAGCTTTATACTTCTACTCTTGCTAGATACATAGTGACTGCTCCAATAACCGCGATCAAGTCGCTGTTCTTTATCGTGGATACTCTGTCCACTCTTATCGCAAATGGTCTCACTGTCCGATATGCGACGACCACCGGGGCCGAGCATCAGGTGAAACATTCCCGGAACCCAGAACCCATTTCTATTGCATCAGATATTTTGGTCCACC